ACATGTACTTTTGAAAGTTTTAAATCTACCTCTTTGCATAATCAAATGTATGGCTCACAATCCGTCACTCTGTAGGTTATTAACAGGAATAACAGACAAAGTATTCCCTTCATACTATTAATTAGTGATTCTGTTTTATTAAAAGAAAATATTAAATTAAAATTAAGAGGGTGGGATTCATAAAATTTAGCCTAACAAGTTCATGCAATGTTGGGGGCTTTTTTTTGTTTGTTTTTTTTTATGCAATGTAGCTGCAATGAAAAAAATGTCCTTCATTTAAAGTATAAGAAAGTATTTAAAATTCAAGAGTAATGTGGCACCGATGCAGTCATTTGACTGCTAATCACCACAAACTGTGCAGACGCGTACGGTAACAGACACAACTGCTTCTATGAAAACAATAAAACAGAGTTTGTATAGTCTACCGTAATGTATGTTTCGATATGCAGCTAATAAACCAGTTAACTAGTACAGAACTACCTACCTGAATGCTTTGGGGAAATACAATTAAATATTGACAGAAATGGATTACTTATTTACTTATTTATCTGAACTCTATAACACTTTATGTCTGCAAAAAAAGTATTCTGAATACTGTGTAATGTATACCGATTAATGTTATGTTGTTTTTAATATACCTTCTTATAGTATATTTAAAACACGATTAAGTTAGTAGTATAATAATTACATTACAAAATATGAGGCTTTATTAACATTTGAACAATTTAGTAAAACGTGTGCATTATCATCAATTATATCCCAATAATATTCCTATTTAATATTTTTTTTTCTGTGTATATGTAAAAGGTTAGATAAGCATGTTTTTGAAAAGGTTGAGTCCTAGAGTTTCTAAATGTGATGAACTGTCTAATTCAGCTGCAGTGCTGTTGTTAACTTTCCACTTGTCGCATCTGTTCATGTTCAAATGTGACTTTTTTTAGCAGCTGCTTCCGCTAACAGCTGTACACTGTATTCTGTGACGTTTCCCTCTGATTGGCCGTTTGTGTGCAGGCTGGGCGGAGCTCCAAGAGACAGCTGTTCCTGCTTCCAGGTGGGATTGAGCGGCACTTGAAAATCAAGACGTGCTCTGTAAGTGTCACACACGCACATCCAATAAAAAGACATTAGCAGTTCCTGGACTGAGCAATAAAAGAGAGACTGACAGCAGGTTCAAAATATTAAACACAGACACTGTATTTGTGGCTCGTGATTGCAGCTTTGCTTATCGTGAATCGACTTTATTTTCAGGTTGCTTTGGATGTGATTGAGGAGCTTTGCCAAGAAATGGAGCTGCACAGGTTGGAGGCGTTGGATGAATATGCCATCTTCTTGGTCACACACAGAGGTAACAGTCATAGTGGAGCTCTAAAATATGAACAGCTCTGACATGCTTTTATACCAGTATATTGCTAAATGCAATCTGCGACTGTGGAGCTGTGCCCTTCAGAAAAAGTTTTTTACAAAAGGTGTGCCCTCGCAAAGTAATTAGTTTGCATGCTTAGTTGTGCCTAATTGTATTTCTAATGGGATCATGATTATACTATTTAACCAACCAGGCACTTAGACACTGAGCTAAGATTGCTGTTTGACATCACTTGAGGATATAAAACACCTTAAAAAATTGTCATATAAGGACATATATTAGTTTATGACTCCCCAAAACTACTGTATCTCTGCATTTTCTCTTCAACCAGATTACATATTTAGGCTTTTCTATGACATCTCCCTTTGATAACTAATGTGTTTTTTTTTTCCCACTTAAATTCTCTGAGCCTCTCGTGTTTGGAGCCACTCTGGGAAGGCCTGCCGCCCACTTCCTCTGAGATATACCAATATATTGTAAATAAATAGGTGATAAATGAGCCATTTGTCTGTGTAGGTCAGAATGTTCGTCCCCTGAACAAACGCGAGTACATCCTGGACATCGCTACAGAGGCAGAGCCGGTGGACACCAACTACAGTCTTTGGTTCAGAAGAGTCATATGGAGTCTGGCTCTCAAACTTGACAATGAACTCTACGTCACCATGCACTACAACCAGGTACCCGGCTGCTGTTTCAAAAGCTGATATCCAATTTCACAGAGTTGTTGGTTCTGACAGAGTTCTGGCAGCGTCAGAAATGTTGGCTCACATTCCCGCTGTGTACCTGAACCTACAGAGAACAGTGAAACGCTGCAGAGTAAACAAACAAGACGGACAAAATTGCACCGTGTGTCTCTTTTCAAGGTGTTGCCAGACTACCTGAAAGCCTTGCTGAGTGTGGTTCCTCAGGGTAAGGCCAGCGATCAGCATCTGCAGCAGCTCGCCAGGCTGGCTGCCCTACAGCACCGTGCCAAGGACACCATCTACCTGCCCACCATGTAAATATACTCCAGTTTTTGTTGGTACTGTTATACACAGGGTATCACATATCTGCAAAAGTCAAACAAAACATGAGCTCACACATGCATCTACATACATACATGCACATATAATGATAACAGGTGCATCCTATTGTTCAAACTTCACTCGCACGTTGGCTACTTAAACAGAAAACACCAGCTGCCATCCACATGTACATGATATACCACACCTGCTTTGCTCTTTGTGCGTTTAGCCGTGAGGTGCAGGAGAGTGTCCCCCCACAGTTCTACAGCAAACAGGGTTCGCAGCATTGGCTGAACATGACAACTCAACACATGCAGCAGGTCCAGCCCTTAAACCCACACCAGGCCCGCGCACAGTTCCTTGGTAAGACATTTGTGAATGTGCAAGTGTGTTTCTGAAAGCAGCTTGCAGTATGCATGTGTAACCGTATATCCTTTATTGTTCATTAGTTTTGATTGAATAGCTACTTGCATAGTCACTCAGATATAGTGGGATGGAAATATCTGAGTAACTGCAAGCATATAAAAAACATCTCACAGACAAAAAGATTTCTTTAAATCCCACATCATAGTTATAGTAAAGTTTTGGCTGGTAGTCAGAGCTTTTGTGTCACATTTCTTAAAAAAAATAAGTGACTCTCATATCAAATGTGATGTTTTGCGTGTTTTCTGTGCAGGTCTGGTCAGTGCCTTCCCCATGTTCGGCTCCTCCTTCTTCTACATCCAGAGTTCGAGCTCCGCCTCTATCCAGGCCCCATGCATCCTGGCTGTCAATCTGAACGGACTGCACTTCCTTAACAAGGATACTCATGTATGTTGAAGTCACACGTGCACAAACACAGCACTGTTGCATGCGTCACAAGACCTAGTGGCAAATAGTGGGCAGCTTTGCATGTGTAACAATGTGAAGACTGTGCTCATCTTGCTTTCTCTTGATCGATTTAAGATAAAACGCAAACAATTTTAACCATTTCATGATGTAGCTGGCTCCCTCTGCTGGTTCTGCTGCCTGCCACATCCAGCCATCATTTTTAATAAAAATCTAAATGCCCAAAAAATTATTATAACATTAAAAACTTTTCCTAACTATTGAATTCTACATTGCATTCATCAAATGTGTATATAGATTTTTTTATTCCTGTGATGTGTGCATGTTTGTGCAGGAGGCTATGGTGCGTTTCCCTCTGAAGGAGGTCCAGTCAACTCGCACCCAGAGACCAACTTCAGGCTCCAGTTACCCATATGTGGAGATCATGATAGGAGACCTGCTCAACCAGCGCATCACTCAGCTGCAGCTGGAGCAGGTGTGTGCACAAGATGTGGATTTAGGGAGAAAGCATTGATTTTTAAGATTCTGTTAGGTATATATGGTAACAATATGTATATATAGCTTGATAGTACATCTACTGTAATACTTCATCTTGAGTGTTTCTTCATGTTTGCATGTGTGTTTTCCAGGGCCTGGAGCTGTGCCGAGTCATTGCCATGCACATGGAGAACATGTTGTCAGTCCGAGAAAAGAGACTCACTTTACCACCAAGTGAAATCACCCTGCTGTAGCACAGACATGCAGACTCATGCACATAGAATTCACAGTTTATGCCTTATAAATGTACTTATAAATCTACCTCTATTTTTAAGATAGAATATTTTGATATGTAAAGGCAACGTTTATGTGAAGTGATGAATGTGTGGTAGTGATGCTGAAAACAGGTGTTTTCAGTTGGGCCCACAACTAATTGTTTAAATTATTTCATTAGCAATCCATTCATTGATTCACTTTCTCAATCGGCACATAAAACATCAGTTATGCTAGTGTCTCTTTGATGCAGTTTCAGGAGAAACAGTCAGACATGACTAAATGTCTTTCTAATTGACGTTTTTCATTTGATTTTTTAGTTATTTTTTTGGCCTGTATTATATCGAACAGTGAGGAGAGAAACAGGAAAGTGGGGGAGAAGAACTTGAAGCAAAGGGCCACAAGCGGGATTCGAACCCATGGCTGCTGCATCAGGGACTACAACCAATGTACATGGGTCACCAGCTCAACCAGTTGAGCTGCAGCGATGGCCCTAGTCTGATATTTATATCCAGAACTATTTAAGGTCTTGTCCACCGTGGCTGCTACTAATATGGAGGACTTTAAGGTCTGCTTAATTATAACCCCCCCCCCCTTCCTGAAGGGGGGGCCCTTTAGGAAGAATAGCGTGATGTGATTAACTTTGAACCGAGGGAAACATTCATTTAAAATAGCTGCGGTCTCATGCTGAACAATGGTAGGGAATCCTACTGCAGCTGCCACCACCAACTGTTTCCCAGACACAGAAATGTGCATCATGAAAAACAATCAAACTAGTATAAGCTCATCTTCCCTTTAACAATAATTAATGCTTGTGAGTTGACATGATTCACCCTTTTCGTTGGTCCTACTTGCTAAGAGAGCATTCATAAATTATTTGTGAATCCATGTTTTTCTCCCTTTTCAAGTTTCATTTCCATGTAAATTGAAAACAAGAGAAGACATCCACCGACTGAATACATTTTTTATTTACATCTTTGCCATAAAATCAAGGGCAAAGTCCCCACAGGGGAAACATATTGTGGCACATAAAGCTGAAGGTCATGTCACTGAACAGTTTGCACTAAGATAAGTTATTTATTTATAAAATGCATATTTTTTTTTGTAAATAGCTACTGTACATAACTAATGCATGTGAATAATACTGTACATTAAAGTTTGTATTACAACATACTCCGGTTTGCAAATTATATTCTTTTATTTAGTTTTTTCTTAGATTGACATTTACAAATACAATTCTGAAGGCAACAAGAAAAGTTAAATAAAAACTAATTCCCAAAATAGCATGAATGAATTAAAACACAAAATACAAGACAAACATAAACAAATTCAAACTAACATAAATAAATAAATTTCAGATAGACTGATGGCAGTTGTAAAATCCAACATTCTTTTGGGATCATTTTCTTTCTAAAATTAATGTAGAAAGGAAATAAAAATAATTACTGTGGTTTGGTTTCCTTCAATTTTATTAATAAAAACAGAATTTGTAGGGTACAATTATTTAGTATTTAGTTATTTAGTATTCATCCTTTGAACACAGAAAACAGCCCATACTTAACATTAACCCAAGAGTTTTAAAAAAAATATAAAAAAATATTATTATAGTTACACTAAAACATTAAAATTTGTACTTAAATGTTGTACTTTAGTTTTGCAGATTTATGTAAATATTATGGTTAAGGAATTATGTTTTTTTTTTATTATATAAGTTTACTTGAGTAAACTAAATATTATGGCTAAGACCCTACAACATATTTTACTGTGTAAATTAACCTCATTAATTTAAATATTAAGAATGAGAACCTGCAATTTTATTTATTATTTAGCCAGCTAAGCTAAATATTGAGGAGCCTGTGTATTAAAGATACAAATTTAGCTGAGTAATTTAAATATTAAACTTAAAAATCTTTTTTTCCTATTAATGTGGCCAACTAAACAAAATATTAAGCTTAAGGCCCCATATTTTGTATATAAAACAGAAATTTATTTAATACATTTTTATATTATATATTATACATACACAAGATGATGAAGATGATGGAGGATTCTTCCCACCCTCTCCACAACACAGTGAAGAACCAACAGAGTGTGTTTAGTGGGAGGCTGTAGAACGGAGAGATACAGAAAGTCATTACTGCCAACAGCCATCACCTTAAAAAACAAATGTGACTGATGACAATTGACTTGCTGAATGATTATTATTATTGTTGTATAAAATATATGTTACATTATTTTTATAAAAAAAAAAAGTGAGCTTTTACAATATTGAATTTCCCTTCTGGGATAAATAAAGTATTTTTCATTTTATTTCATTTCATTTCATTTCATATTAGGACCCTGCAATATTTTTTATATTATAAATGAAATAATTCTGACTAAATTAAATAAATGTGATGTGATTAAGACCCTGCAATATTTTTTTGTAGTCTTAATTTATCTGACTAAATTAAATATTAAGGTTAAGATCCTACAACATTCTATACAAATTTACCTGACTAATTAAAAAAAACAAAGACCACAACCTACAAACTTAGACATTAAAAAGAGCAAGCATATTGGAGGACAATAAGTTTCTTTTAAAAATGCAACACTTGAGTAAATGCACTTATTTCCTTATCATCCCTCCGTCCCGGAACGTGACCACTTTCCAAACACATTACAGCCAGATGTGCTCGCTCCACAATCAAGTTTCCCGACAATATACACATCAAATGAAACCTTAGAGTCTCCTCTTTCCGATGATATAAACCTTTTTGACCTGCAGCAACCACAGCGTTGACACAAAGAGTTTTTTGTACAGAAAAGCAAAATGTTAAAATCCGACTTTTCTTGCTTCTGAAGGCTCTCTGCAGCTCAAACATCGGTCACTCTTCACCAGGTTGGTCTCATTCTGTCCGGACACAATACAGTAAAAATAATTTACTAACACGTCTTAGATCATCAAAGGCACGTATTCTGCAGTAATGTCTTTCCAGTTTCAGATCTGCTCAAGGCAAGATTTTTTATGTGTGGCGGTAGTGGAAGCTCTGCGTAGTGACTCAAGACAAGGGGTGCGTAAGGTGAGCGTAATGCGTCCATCCTCCTCCATCTTGTTTGTTTTGGGATAGTTTTGAAGCGCAAAAACATGGCAAAACGTACAGAAAAGAGAAAATACACAACAGGGGAAGTCGTGGAGGCTGCACAAAAGACCGCAGCATATCTGTGTGCTTTCTTCAAACAGAGGCTGTTATAACTAACGGCTCATAGAGAACAAGTGAGTGTCGTAGTGCTGAGAATATGTGTACAGTTTGAGTTATACAGTAAATATACAATTTGCAGTGTGTGTTGTTGGTGAGAATTTTAAATATATATTTAAACCTGCCCATAACACTTGTTTTGATGTAGTCTTATATCTTTTATAAAAAATATATATTTAGGGTCCGAGGACCCCTACTTGCTGCAGCAAGCAGGGGTCCTTGCCCGCAGGACTGGGACATGTGAGCCTTGTCTGGTGAAGGCTCAGTTTGGTTCTGGTATGGAGTCTTTCCAATGAAATTCATGTGGTCAAAAAAATTTGGTAGTTTTTCCCCTCTGAAAAAATGCCATTTTTCATCAATCTCTGCCACAGCTGTCAGTGATGCAGGAAGACTGTGCCTTCACCAGACAAGGCTCACATGTCCCAGGAATGGCTGGACCAAAGAACAAGTTCCCAGCTCCATTATTTTTTCTGTTTGGAAATTTCTCGTTAAGGATTACCTGATTTTTCAATAATTTTGCTGCCTTTTTATAGGGTCCCCCATGGTACCTTTTTAAAAATTTTTTACGTGATATTGTACATTAGGAAATTAAAGAAGAGTGCTACAATTTGTTATACAGTGTTGTACTTTGACATAAATGAATGAAAAATACATTTTATCCAGATTATTATATCGGGTAAAATATACCCGGCGTTAGTGATAGTGTTACTAATTTTAGCGTTAGTGTTCTAAGGTTAAAGCAGGTTTAACTTGAAGAACGGTCAGACGGGCATGCGGTCGCAGCGCGGACCGAGGACCCGACAAACGCTGCTTGCAGCTTTAATTTATTTAGTTTTTAATGANGAGCTTTTACAATATTGAATTTCCCTTCTGGAATAAATAAAGTATGTTTCATTTCATTTCATTTCATTTCATTCATTTCATTTCATATTAGGACCCTGCAATATTTTTTGTAGTATAAATTTATCTGACTAAATTAAATAGTAAGGTTAAGACCCTGCAATGTTATTTCTATCATAAATTTTTCTGACTAAATTAAATAAATGTGATGTGGTTAAGACCCTGCAATATTTTTTGTAGTGTTAATTTATCTGACTAAATTAAATATTAAGATTAAGATCAGTACACATATCACAATATTCTATACAAATTTACCTGACTAATTAAAAAAACAAAGACCACAACCTACAAACTTAGACATTAAAAAGAGCAAGCATATTGGAGGACAATAAATTTCTTTTAAAAGTGCAACACTTGAGTAAATGCATTTATTTACTTATCATCCCTACGTCCCGGAACGTGACTACTTTCCAAACACATTACAGCCATATGTGCTCGCTCCACAATCAAGTTTCCCGACAACATACACATCAAATGAAACCTTAGAGTCTCCTCTTTCCGATGATATGAATGTTTTTGACATGCAGCAACCACAGCATTGACACAAAGAGTTTTTTGTACAGAAAAGCAAAATGTTGAAATCCGACTTTTCTTACTTCTGAAGGCTCTCTGCAGCTCAAACATCGGTCACTCCTCACCAGGTTGGTCTCATTCTGTCCAGACACATCCAGTGAATGCAATACAGTAAAAATTATTTATTAACACATCTTAGATCCTCAAAGGCACGTATTCTGCAGTAATGTCTTTCCAGTTTCAGATTGGCTCAAGGCAGGATTTTTTATGTGTGGCGGTAGTGGAAGCTCTGCGTAAGTGGTGCGCAAGTGGTGCGTAAGGTCAGCGTAATGCGTCCATCCTCCATCTTGTTTGTTTTGGGATCGTTTTGAAGCGCAAAAACACGGCAAAACGTACAGAAAAGAGAAAATACACAACAGAGGAAGTCATGGAGGCTGCACAAAAGACAGCAGCATATCTGTGTGCTTTCTTCAAACAGAGGCTGTTATAACGAGCGGATCATAGAGAACAAGTGAGTGTCATAGTGCTGAGAATATGTGTACAGTTTGAGTTATACAGTAAATATACAATTTGCAGTGTTTGTGAATTTTAGATATATATTTAAACCTGCCCATAACACTTGTTTTGATGTAGTCTTATATCTTTTATAAAAAATATATATTTAGGACCCCTACTTGCTGCAGCAAGCAGGGGTCCTTGCCTGCAGGACTGGGACATGTGAGCCTTGTCTGGTGAAGGCTCAGTTTGGTTCTGGTATGTCGTCTGTCTAAGGAAATTCATGTAGTCAAAAAAATTTGGTCATTTTTCCCCTCTGAAAAAATGCCATTTTTTGTCAATCTCTGCCACAGTTGTCAGTGATGCAGGAAGACTGTGCCTTCACCAGACAAGGCTCACATGTCCCAGGAATGGCTGGACCAAAGAACAAGTTCCCACCTGATTTTTCAATAATTTTGCTGCCTTTTTATAGGGTCCCCCATGGTACCTTTTTAAAAATTTTTTTATGTGATATTGTATATTAGGAAATTAAAGAAGAGTACTACAATTTGTCATACAGTGTTGTACTTTGACATAAATTAATGAAAACTACATTTTATCCAGATTATTATATCGGGTAAAATATACCCGGCGTTAGTGATGGTGTTACTAATTTTAGCGTTAGTGTTTTAGGGTTAAAGCAGGTTGAACTTGAAGAACGGTCAGACGGGCATGCGGTCGCAGCGCGGACCGAGGACCCGACAAACGCTGCTTGCAGCTTTAATTTATTTAGTTTTTAATGATGAAATAGGAATTTCTATAACTAATAGAGTGACTCTGTGTCCAGATGTGGATTCCTCTGGCTATAAGCTTTCAGTAGAGCCCTCACTGATGTCTGTACGTTCAAGCATTCAACAGATTTTGCACTTTTTCTTTACATGTTCAGTGGTCTCCAATTTGGATAGATGTGGATAAAACAACAGTCCCTCAATAAAACACATTAACATACCAGTATACAAACTGGTGTCAGATTATCAGTTTTACAGATATTGTTTACAAATTTGAAATTTGAGAGCAATACAAGTTTTTCTATTGGCACACAGTGTGTTTTAGTTCTCACCACCTAATGCTGCTTTATGCTCCTTTATTTTCAAGAAAAAACTAAGGCGAGGATCAAAATATATATATTTTTTTTCTGGGATGATTGAAATAGAATAACTTTTTACTGGTAGCACCTAGAATGATTGTGATTGCTCTGGATAAAACTAGAGAGTGTTATCTTTACAACAAAGCTCAAACTTTATATACACTCCATAAGGGTCAATAACAGCACTCATTTTAATTTGGAGATGTCATTTTAATTTGGAGACGTCATTTTACAGGGGGTTGCATTGAAATGACCCGGAATGATAAGGGGTTAATTTATTTTACAACAAATTCGAGGTGAACAAACTCACTTGTTCTGCTTTATTAACTGTTATTGGGCATTTACTCTCCGGCCGTTCGATTTTGTGTAAAGGACGTGCCGCTGTCACCGCACACTGGCGCATGTCTTTGAAACATGCCGCCGGTGTGCGCCGTGCCCCCAACCGAGCGCCTCTCTCCAGAGCGCCTGGCTGTGTGGGCGTTTCTGCGTAAATTGCTCGCAGATTTCTTCGCCCTCATTGGCTCACAATAACGGGGTCCGTGTGAACCGGGAAGGGGGGGTGGGGGTAGGGGGGGTTCTGTGGTCAAACCCACCGCGACCTAAACAGCACCAGGAGGGAGAGGAGGAGGAGGAGGAAGCAGAGCCGTGCGGAGCCGCCGCAGCAGCAGCAGCAGCAGCAGCAGCAGCCTCATAGCCCCGCTTCATGGGCTAGTCCGTTAGCTAGCTTAGCATCGCCCGACTGCGCCGAACCGCCTCTCCAGAGAACCCCGGCTTGTTCTCTCCGTGTTTTCCCTCTCCGTCCTCCCCTCCCTCTCTCCGGGTCCTGCCTCCCCTCCCTGCACGGCTCCAAGATGATGAAGTTTCGGTTCCGTCGGCAGGGCACCGACCCGCAGAGAGAGAAGATAAAGCAGGAGCTGTTCGCCTTCAACAAGGTAAAGTAACGGGACAAGAGGGAGGGAGGGAGGGAGGGAGGGAGACGGAGAGGCTTCCTCAGCTGCTGCTGCTCCCCCAAAAAACTGCCTTCCACAAGCCAGGTTTGAAGCGAAGCAGCCCCGGAGCCTTTCTCCACCACCACCCCACCCGGGCCGCTCCTCCTCTTCTGTGGCCGTAAATTAAAGTGCTGCCGGCGGCTTGGAGCGCAGGCTGGACTCGGCGCTTTGTTGCTGTGTGTTTTTGGGGGCTTGTTTTCACGGCGTGTTAATTGGGCTCCAGCGAGGCCAAAGTGAGCAGAAACTTTGTCTCGGCGGTGCTAATATCGCTGTGATTAACCATCAAGCCAATGAGCGATGAGGATTATCAGATTAATCCGGGATGTAGCCTCATCCAGGCAGTTTGATGCTTCATGTGGGTAATTAGTGTGACCCATATTTCATGTGTTGGTCAAGATGGCTCTGAGTGTGGTGACAGTTTCAACTCCTCTCCTAGAAGCTGCCACAACACTGCATGCATTTACATACAAGTGTTTTTCTTTTTTTGTGGTGCTCAGACTTCTTCTTGTTTCAGTTTTTTCAGGGTCTGTGGGTGAAACCACCAGTGTCAGGTTTCATGCTGCTCAACTCTGGCATCACATCCACATGGATATGAAGCAGTTCTTGTACAGTAAATCCCAGCTTCCCCTTGCCTCTGTTAACACTTACTGGTTGGTGGCTTTTCCCCCCACTCTCGCCAGTGCTGAGATCGATGTAAGAGCTCCAGGCCTGGACAAATTTCAGATTCACTTTAAGGAAGCTGCCTGTTGTCACCTTGACCACTGCTGCTAAACTGGTGGGAGCCTAAAAGTAGTATAATAATTAAAGGTGCATGTTGGATATCATCTTTTTGGAGGGGTTTCTCTGCACTTGTGTAGACGCCTGTGCAAAGACAAACAGATCGGTGCAGAGGCCTTGAACTCTGTTTAGGTGAGGCTGCTGTCTGCATGCTGTTACTCAAAAAGTGTTTCAGAGAGCAGGGCTGTCCAAAGTTTTTGATGTTGAAAGACTGCGTTTATCCTGCACAGTGGATGACATGAAAGAACTAAGTGTGTTCATGCTGCAGCTGCATGATTTTGGTCCATTTTCTCTCACTTTATTGTTTTATTACTAATTGTCGATTTTCTTTCAATGCTTTTAGCTATCGTCATGATAATCTTTTATCTTGAAATCAAATATGCATTTAAAGTCCACAGGCGCTCCAAAACACAAATCTTCTCCAGTTAGGCAAACTGATGTATGTATGTTAGGCAACTTGTATGTTTTTTTTTTTTTTTTACAATGAGTAGCTTGTTTTGCAAGCGAGTGACATACAAAGCATTATATTCACTCTCTTAATGACACATGTTAATCAGCTTTTTGTGGCTTGCAGGGTTGCACTTGTCCTAGTTGATAATTCCAATGAGATCCGCTCAAACTTACTCGCCTGACCCCGACACTATATTGTGTCGCTTCCTTTGATATTTTTATTTAAACATGCAGCCACTCTAAACGGATACTCATGACCGATTTCAGTCACCACAGTTGCTGTTTCATGACTCCTCGTGGCGGCACTTATCAAATGAATGAGGGTAAATTGAATAGAAATTAACTAACTTGCAGGAAAGAAGAAAACAATCACGGGGAGGGATGGATGACAGAGTGTGGGGTAAAGCAAATTTATTAAGCTAATTCGTTGAACTGACATTTTTAAAATTGAGTAATAATACACACAGACACACACAGCAACATCACAGTGAAGTTAATAATACACAGATGTCATGACGTATTGCGTATAATTTCCCCGTAGTGTGTTGCAGAATTGCTATATTGTGATCCCATCGTTATTGTGGCCAACGTACCGTGATAATATTATGAGTTACTGTTTCCCACTCATACTGTGAAGGAAAACCCATTTTTCAGGCTTTTCAGGTTACCCCAGACACGACAATTTCAGCCATGACCTTTGGTGTGTTTGCCATTTGAAGGAACAGATTCAGCCAAGATCAAGGTTATTGGAGCTGCAGCAGTTAGCTGTTCAATTTGTTAATTGGTTGAATTAAATTTAGGCCATTTTGATCAAGTTCTCGTCACGTCTTGCTCTAATATATAGTAAACTGAATATTTTTTAAGCCAAACTTGCTTTTGTTAGCTTTTCAGATATGAGAATTTGATGCTTTTCTGTGTCACATGATGATGATAAACTGAATTTGTGTTTTCGGCTGCTGCTCAAACAAAACAAGATGTCTGAAGAAGCACCATGTCTTTGGTCGTAGGAAACTGTGTAGCTAGTGAGACATTTAAACAGTGTATGTTCAGAGTGACTGAATAGTGCACTGTGTTTAAAGTCCATGGACTGTTTTGCTGTAACAACACACAGACACCTTTTTTAAGGGTTGGAAGCAGCTGCCACAACTGTCACAGAGGTGGTCTCTCCTCAGGAGGCTTCCTTTTGATGTGACTCTGTGTGCGATCCAACCGACACTTTACAGACAGAAAGAGTTAATGTTTAAAGTCATGTCTGAGCTCCAAGCTAAACAACTATTTTCCAATTTTTTTGGGTCACAGGGGTGCGTGAAACTTTAAAGACCCCCACGAACTCTTTTAAACCAGCTTTAGGTAACTCTCTACATGGTTCCTGTTTGCTTTTTTCTGTCTATGTAAATGCTTTCCCAGCTGTCTCGCCATCTCCTGACACGAGCAGGGAAAAAAACCTGTGAATTTATGTTAATCCCATTTAACAAGGCCAGCAGAGCATTGCAATAAAGCAATGCTGCTGCCATCAGTGCTTTTTAAGAACTTTCCTCTAACTTTATTAAGGGAGTCCTCCCTTTTAGACGCCTAGCTGACTGTACAGTCCGACGGGACAACACAGATAGACAGAGTCGGTGCTTTTTAGAGGGAAAGATGTCTGAAAAACAAATTAGAGCTTTCTTTGTCTTATTTCATGTGTCATCTGTTCATCTGTCTCTGTTTGTGTTTCTCATTCATTCCTTTGCCATTCTCTTCTTTCTCTGACAGACGGTGGAGCATGGGTTCCCCCATCAGCCCAGTGCTTTGGCTTTTGATCCCAAGCTGCAGCTTATGGCCATCGGCACAAAGTCGGGAACCATCAAAATGTATCCTTTGTCATCGGTGAACTTTTTTGCATCTGACTAAAGTTATTTTGCAGTGTCATCAGTCTCAGTCTGGCTGGGCAGTTTTTAAAATAAGCAACTTCATGAATTTTTTAACAATCCAAGTTTACTGATCTCACAACAAAATAGTCCTGTATAGTTAAAGCAGAGAACAGTTCAAACAACCAGACTCATTAGACTCTATTAGTTAAGACAAACAAATCAGATGTGAGCCCGCACAAGAAATGAGGTAAGGGTTGTTATTGGACAAACTGTAATTTATCATATTTTTAGGTCGTGTAACCCAGGCCAAAGTCCAGCTGATTCAGACTTGCACAACCGAAACTACCTAAGAAAATCTTAAGATTAAAGAATCAGTCTTTCCACTGCTGTCAATTTGCATATTTCGAAGTGCTTCTCTTTATATCTGCATCAGCTCTGCAGTGCAGCTACAGTGCTATCTTCAGCTGCAGGTTTGTGTGTTTCTGGCATCTGTCATGCTCCTTTGATTTCATATTTGTCAGTGTAACGTTTTGTATCTGGTGCGACTTCTAGGATAGCAGCGACTCTTTCCTGTAACTGCTGTCATTGCTATTTGAAAACACCCTTCCTACACAGACCACTGCTGTTTACTGCTTTTTAAAGTAAATCAAGATGTAAGTTATACTCTGTATTCATAAGCAGCGTCGTTGCTGTTCTACGTCCAACTGTGCTTCATAGTGTTTTTACGAATGCTGAGGAAGTCCTGATCAGTTGTGCTTGCAGAAGAGCTGTTTATATAACAGTCAGTTTGGTAGAACGGTGAGCTGCTGTGTGTGCTTTCTGTCAGTGAGAGAAGTTGCACTGTCTGCTGCACCACCAGTGTTAAGTGAAGAGACCGATCTGTTACTCCCCACTAAGCTGACATTATTAGACAGTTAGTTATTCACTCATGGATTTATTTGTAAAGTTGTGGCCATTATTCCTATAGTTCATAATGGCGTCTTTGCCATACCAAGTAAATGGCTTGGGTCATTTCTAGAAAGGAGTTAAGTCCGGGAAGCAGCTCATCGGAGCAGACAGGTTGTAAACAAACCCTCACTTTTACTATGAATAGTTCAAGCAAACATTAAAGTTGTTACTCAGACTGTTCTTTCTAAACATTTATTAAGTTTTGCAGTGATGTACAAAGTAATGAGACCACAGCTGACATTTCAGATACACTTACTTTCAGTGCCATTTCTAGTTAGGTGACCAAACTGGGGGGTTGTTTACTACCTGAGACATCATCTGCTCACATGTATTTCTCCCTAACTTGCTGCAATTAACTTGATGAGTAAAACTTCACAGCCAATGGGACTGTCATCCAGAATTATGAAAATGTCACCAAGCCTGACAAAGAAAACAACAACAACATCATTACAACATATTTTAAAGACTGTTAGGCAGATAATTCTATCCTTGCAGACCCAGAACATCATAAATGCATTTCTTGGTGTGCGGTCAGTGGGGATCTAACCCCCAACCCCGGCAGTGACTGTGCAAGGTTTGAGCACCAGAGATAATTACTGCTTTGGCTTGTGAGATGCGTTGTAGCTAAACCATAATTTAGCTCAGGTTCAGTTGTGTCAGAAATTCCAGCAACGTAGAGGCTGTCCACGCACAACTCTGACGCATTGTTGATGTGTGTGATCTATGTGGTAGCCAGCTCTGCCGTGATCACAGCGATACTTCTAGACTAGACTAGTTTGCTCAGAATTCCCTGATCAAGCAGCTGAAAAGGAAGCACTTAGATGTTTCAAAGCACGTGCTCATGTTCAAGTATTTCGCTTTGCGTCGGTCTCCTCATGTGTTTCGTGTTTGTCTCGCATGTTTCGTTTGTGAACGTGTGTGACCTGCAGCGGACGGCATGTAACAGGATTTACCACCTCAAACATGCCTGTGGTCAGATCTGAATATTCCGCTCATATCAACTGCGCATGGGTGTTTAGAAAAGTATGTACAGGCTTATCAGTGTGCAACGGGAGGCTGCTGCCTGTGTGTGCGTTATGTGCAGATGCATTAGGCTGGAGAATCAACTCTTTGAGATGCAGCTTTCAGAGAGCGCGAAAGAGAGAGAGACTGGTGGTACCAGGCACTTGCACCCCAGAGAGAGATGGATAGAGGGAGAAATGGAGGAGGGGAGAGATGGAGATAAACAGGCAGCGAAGACAAGGGAGTGAGAAAGAGACGGAGGAGGAGGCAAAATAACTGCTCTATATGGCTATAGCTACTTTAACGAAATGTGGGATACCTCAATACTTAGAGGTGCTGTTGGAATTATTAGAAAGTCAGCATGTGTGCACACGGGGACTATCTAGGTAGTTTTACAAAATGTTCATTTTAAAGGTGTATGAGAATAGTGTCCTGTTCACGTATTTGGCCCCTGTCAGACTCTCCTATCATCTGACAGCATCTGAACATGTCGACTTTGTGTCTGAATGAGCACCCTGGTCTCTTTTTCGTAAAGGTCAAAGTCAGTCTTTGACATTGGATGTTTCTGTGTCACTTTCAACATGAATCTGCTCTGCATGTAGCCGCATAAATGGGTAGACACGTAGATTCCACTCGCAACAAGTTGTTGGAAATGTAATGATTAAAAGGCTATGTTCTATTTATAGTTATGGGAGTGCATCCATGAGTACAATAATTAGGCTGCTCCTGCAAATATCCTGCTGTGAGAATGTGACCTAATAATCTGTAAAATAAGAAAAAGCTTGATATGACACACAAGATATTTTGACTTTCAGATCAGACTTTTATATAAAATGATGAGTCCTAAACTTTGCTGGAGCTCAGGACTGAATGATCAAATGTAGTTTATGAACGGAGTGTCTGAAGTGTCGAAAAGAACGCCATCATTTGCTGTCAGATCCTGTCCAGGTGCTGAGCTTGTTGTTACTTTAGGTTTAGTCTTTTGTTCATTAGTGGCTCCTTGATGCACTGTCCAATCTCACAAGTATGTCAGATATCAAGGGCACACTGTGGCGCTCTCTATCAGTGTTTGAACATAGACCAGATTACATTGTCAAAATGGAAATTGCTCACCAACATGTAGATTAATCAAGAAAATGGTAACAAGATGTTGGGAGTAGTTGCAGGAGACCAGTTAGTAGCTGTTTTTATGCACATCATAGAGGCCATATTTACACTGGAAACCAGGTTGAAAAAGTGATTTAAGTTTTGATATTGCTATGAAACAAATGCCAGAAAGGGCTGCAACTACTGAATATCTTTTATTATTGATTAATCTGCTGAAGGTGAGTACTTGTTTGCCCTGACCCATAGTCCAAAACACACTTTGCGATGATTTTAAACAAACAGCGAATCCACTTGAACCAGGAAATATTTGGTGTTTTTGCTGAAAACAATTCCTGAAAATGAGGGAAATGATTAACCCATTATCAAAATAGTCTTTTGGTTGTTTTTCTGTCGATCAGCTGTAAGCTGCAGTGGGTGACAAACAGGTTTTTGAAATCAGGTTGAGTTGAAAAGAGTTCTGCGTGCATCCACATTCCCTGATAATGGAACACACTCGCTGACTTTGGTTTGACCCATATGTGCTGGCCAGCATACCTGTCAGTGCTGTAGTACACACTTCCAGCCTGCGGTGCCAGATGTGCGGTTCGACTCTCACCCCGATGCCTGAGCAGTGTGCACAGCTTGTCGAGTAGCAGGACCAGAAAGTTTATTGACTTGGTTACAAGGGAAGAGTGGGAAAATTGCAAAAGAATTGCGCTACTTGTTTAGTTTGAACTGCTGTTCTCCATCTTGGCATGATCGCTCCTCTTGTTCGCATGTGCTCTCTTTCACGTTCTTGTTCAAGTTTCTCACTTGCTCCTTCCTCTTCTTCTTCTTTTGCTCTCTCTGTGTTTATAAAGGCAGAATCATATTACACCCTGAGAGTTTCTGCTCCAACCACAGACTGGGGCTCAGCAGAGGGAAGGGGACAATGTGGTGTGGAGCTTTTTTTTTGTTCGTGTATGCCGACAGATCATGCGTGGGGGTGGAGGGGTGATCTTGAGGAGTCCGTCTCCTGTCGTGGAATGCATGTTGCGCTGCCCTGGGTTAACCCTCCCCGTGTGTGTGTGTGTGTGTGTGTGTGTGTGCGCCTGTGTGTGTGTGTGCCTGTGCAGATTGGGTGAGTAAGAGCTTTGTTGCTGAGTCTAGTCTTAATAAAGGGAGCTTTTGAAATGGTTTCCAAGACGACCAGCGCAGTTGCCTGGGATGAGGAGCGCTTGCGGGCTGGAGGGGTTTTAAAAGTCTGCAGCTCAGCACATCAGACACCAGAGTTTGTTGGTAAAACTGTTTCAGTTGAAGGTGAAAAGGTCAGAAAGTGCCTCTTAGTTACACACACACCTCCGTTTTCTATGACTACTGTGTGGCGCGATGATTTTGTCTCGATCATCCAGTACATGCTGAATCACACTGAAACTTTGTGACCATGAAACTTCATATCGGCCATCGAACAGCCAGAGAACGAGCTAATATTTACACATGCGCGGCGGAGCTTTGATCCAAGTGTTTGTGCTCCAGCTGACAGCTCTCCCCGTCCGTCTGTCTGACATCCTGTTGGTCGCACACTGCATGGCCACCCTGTTTGGTTCTGAATCGTCAAGTCTTAACTTGAACTCAAATTTCTAAACGTTTGAACGTGTTTGCTTGGAATTTCGGATGTTTTTTCGTGTTGTGTTTTAGCAGTAGCTGATTGGTGTTGCAGTTGCTGTGGTGCAACACGGTTTACTTATGTCATTTTTATTTCAGCCTTGACTGAAATTCTAGAGAAATTCTGTGCTTTCATGCTGTGAGTCATGCACTTTTGCAATGTCACTCCGCAGACAAGCGCTAAATTAAACATTGAATGGACAGAAACGAAACTCTTCTTTCCCCTTTAATTAATTTCTTCACATGGTGACCCTGGTTGACTGTGACAGCTGCTTTAGCTTAAACTAAAGGACTCTGGAATTGTTTATCCATCTTCAAAG